ATTTATGTATATTTTTAAAGATTATTTTGCATTTTTCTATTGGATAAGTGTACATGTAATCCTCAACATGACCACAATTGAGCCCCAATTTTTTGTTGCTAAGTGAGATTTGTAAAATGAGTTTTGCCTGATTTTACATCCTTTCTTGCCTCAATTGGTAAGTGAATCACTGCAGTTAGTAACTTGATTGTTAAGCTAACCTGGCTTCCCCATTGACTTTGCTTATCGCATGACACTGGGACACTGCAGCTGTCATAAATATGAACCAGTAGCTAGGCATCTGAATTTTGATCACATGATCATGGGGATGCTGCAAAGGTCGTAACTGTGAAAAACAGTCATAAGTCATTTTTTTAAAATATTTTTTTGCCAGTAAGTATATGTCTGGTCACCGATATTTAGGTCTCTCTGAAAATTTCATTTTCCTGGGAGGAAATTGAGAGTAAATAATTGGTGGAAAATGAATCGTATCTCAATCTGCCAAAGATTATTTCTTATTTTGGAAGCCATAAAATATCACTAATATATGCTGCCAGTTTCTGTTTGTAATTATTTTACTGTGAACTTTCTGTGCATAGGTTCATTATTATGAAGATGGAAATGTTCAGCTAGTGAGTCATAAAGATATACAAGATTCTCTAACAGTGACTGTAAGTATCTTTTCCTGTGCATCGGTATAGGAACATTACATATTTTCCATATTATATTTTATAAAAGAAGTTGCCATTATTTTCTTTATATTAGTGAAAAGTTAGCATGCTAATAAAAATGAACATATGAGCAGCAAAAAGCAACCTGTCCCACCTTTAGTTAATACCGTGTTTCTCCAACAATACGGCCTCCACCAATAGGAAGATCCAGCATGTTTTCTAGGCATAAAATCAAATTAAGCCCCTCCCCCCAAATTTAGGCCTAGTTTAAAACATGCAAAATAGGGGGAAGGGTGGGGGGACTTGCCATTTGGAGTGCCGTTGGAGCTGCCACCGCCGTTTGGAGTGCCGTTGGAGCTGCTGCCGCCATTTGGAGCCGCCGCCGCCGTTTGGAGTGCCGCCGTCATGTTTGGAGCTGCCACTTCCGTGTTTGGAGCTGCCGCCGTGTTTGGAGTGGCGGTGGTGCTCCAAACAGCGGCAGTGCTCCAAACGCGGAAGCGGCAGCTTCAAACGGCGGCGGCGGCTCCAAACGGCAGAGGCAGCTCCAAACGGCAGAGGCAGCTCCAAACGGCGGCAGCAGCTCCAACGGCACTCCAAACGGCGGCGGCTCCAAACGGCAGAGGCAGCTCCAAACGGCGGCAGCAGCTCCAACGGCACTCCAAACGGCAGCGGAATGGGCAGAAGGGAAAGCAACAGCGGCAGGTGCCAAAGGTCTTGGGTCTGCAGCAAAGGTGTTTGGTGGGAGTAGGGAGCTCTCTGCGCTTCGCCATGATCGCCCGTTAGGAGCGGCTGGTGGCAAGGCTGCCTGCGGGGCGCTCTAGATGAGGATGAAAGGGGGGGAAATTAAGTTACCCCCGAAAAGACGGCCTAGCCGTTTTTTCGGGGCTCAAAAAAAAATAAGGCCCGGCCTTATTATGTGAGAAACACGGTATTATCCTCTTCCTTGCCTACCTATATATCTCAAAAGAAATTTTCAATAGTGTCATCCTTTCTTAATGCAATGAAAGATAGTTATTGAATAAAGAGGTTAATACTTACTGTGCTGCTCCTTCCCTGAGAAGATTATCATTATTAAGTAGCAAACGAACATCTGAAAAATACTGAGCATTAGTATATGGTGAATATAGTGGATATAAACTCAAACAGAAAAAATATATGCTAATAAATAAATAATATCCATCTCAAATGCGTGTCTATCAAACTAAAGGTTTTAAATGCTACATTTAAAACGATGTGTATGGATGAAATATACTTCTTGAAATTTCACAGGAAATAGCATTTAAATTTTCTGGGGGATCTGTTCTATATTTAATTGGACGTAACTTTGCAATTCTTGCCAAAAATGAACACATTTTTATATAATATAATAACTATAGTATTAAAAAGCTTAAACAAGCAAACTCACAGAAAAAATATAACAATCATTTATATAACAGCTCAAACTTAGAAATTAAATCAAAAATTCTCCTTACATTTCAATATGCACATAATAGAGTTCAACATTTATTATAAACTGTCAAAATCTGCAGTTATATAAAAAAACAGAATGTATCACACAGTAGCTTACAATGGCATTATGTTCATTGTCACTAATATGCAGATAAGGACTAAAGAACTAAAATGTTTCAAGGTTGAAACAGCAGATTGTCCCAAGATTGAAGCACCTCAACCTTGAAACATTTTACACATTTCTTAGTATTTAGTACAGGAAAGAAAACATGCATTTGCAGTAATAGGGCTGGAAAAAATAGTCTTAGCATTCCGAAACTTAGTTCCTTCTACCAGCTCTAAAATATTCCCTAATGGTCACCTGCCATCAGCTCTCACTTCAATGGCTCTTCATGTAAATTGGTGTTACTTCATTACAAAAGTTGAAAGCATATATATTCATATATAGCAATTGATCACTAACTCTAAAAGCACAACCAAAACTTCAAAAACTATAAAAGAACACCAATAACAGCTATATGCTTCTTTAATTCATAAGTTTCACGGGGGAAAAAAATGGAGACAAAATAATGAGTAAAACCCTCAAGCAAGTGCAGGATTTGAGGCAAGAGAATCACTCTGAGGTTGTCTTTCTCAAGACTGGTGCCATTTTAAAATGCCTTGATTATTGCCAGTTTCAATTTTAAAATGCTTGATTATTGCCAGTTTCAATTTTAAGTCAATTGGTGTCTCTAGAAATTATGCTAAGTCTATTCTATTTGTTAATCCCTCTTCAGCAACTATTATGGCTAATCGTTCCATAATTCTTTTTTTTAAGTCTCATTTTATATCATTTTCTCAAATCCCCTCAAACTCTTCATAAAAGGGATATGCAGATCTTTTAATTAGAGCTTGAACCAATTACCAATTCCACAGCTTAATCTCCCACTGTAACAAAGAACATGACATGGGGGAGGACATAACTGTATTTTAAATAGAATATTTCTAACTTATCTTATTTTAAGATTATATTCAAAACATGTTCCTTTTAGACCTAACAGTAATACAGAAATTTTAAAAAATAGTCAATCACACATACATTACCTTTAGTTAAACAGAAATTTTGAAATGTAACTCAAAAGCAGATGTGTACAAAATGCTTTTAATTTAAACTATTTCATATTCAAAGTCCTGGTTCATGCTTGACAAAATCAAATCTTCATTTTGGCATAAGGTAATATCAATAAGAATTGCATCAATTTCAGTAATAGGGAAATCTATGACAAAAAGTATTACTTGCATTCCTTGCAAGATACTATCATATTAAAACACTAAGGTAACTATATAAAAATTATTAATTTTATTAAGACAAGATTTACTAAATCTTGATTTTAAAACAGTTGTGCTCCAAATGAGCATTTCAAGCATCCAGGAAGTTTGGAATAGCAGCTTTGGACTCCCAAACAAGATGCTTCAAATTTGAGATGACCAAAATCTGAAACGGGGCATTTCTATTTGAAAAAGGGTTATATAGGCTATCTGAAATGAAAATCAACATATGGCCTGCTCACCGTTAAAAACCTCATTGAATTCTCCTGGTGGAGCATGGATGATGAATTTTGCTGCTATGCGCACCTGAAATGAAAACAAATGATATAGTTTTCAACCAAATTTGTAGAGGAAATAAGAATAGTGTTTTTAAAAAACTGAACTGTATTAAAAGAATTGGATTTACTTTTAAGGAAGAAATGTATATATACCTTAATTCTACTATACAATTGTTATAGAAGTTTGATGATCAACTTAAACGCAAAAAATCTGCAGCAGCCATAACACAATTTAGACATAATACTCTGGGAAGTGAAGAACATAATCATCTTTCAGGAATGAACTGCCTGAAATATCTCAGAACGATATTTCTATCCAATACAGTACTAACAGTACCACTGCAACCAAAGATGGGAAGCTTACTTTCCCCCCCTAAAACTAATATGACTCATAATTATAAGCTGCCTCCCAAATATACTATCTAAAGCAGTTGTTTCTTTGTAATGAAATGCTTTGTCAAACGAATGAACACAAAATAACAATAATGTGAAACTTTTCCAATATTCCAGTAAACTATTGATATGCATAACTTTTAATACAACTTTTAAATTCTTTAATGCTACCAAATGTAATACACAAGACAAATATTTTAAAGGTTGATTGCAGCAAAAAATTCTGTATACACAGAGAAAGAAAAACGCATCAATTCCCACAATGGAAGAATGTATGCTAAAAGTGATAGACCTGGTAGAGATTTCAAAATTGACTGTCTAAATTAAAGAGAAGAATTTATCTTGTTTTGTTTCCACTTGGAAACCACTTCTGGACTTAATTCTCGAAACAGAAAAAAATGAAACCTCTAATTTTGGATATTGTCTAAATTGATAATGTTGTTATGAAATGGTGTGAAATAATTAGAAATGTAAAAAGATTTGAGTTTATAATTTTTCTTGTAACTGCACTGAAAAAAGCTGGAAGTCACTTTTCTTTCTCTTTAGCCTTTGCACTTTTTACCTTTTTTATTTTTTATATTTGTATTTTATCTATAATAAACTTTATAAAACTTTGAAAACATACTACCAAATGTAATATACAAAACAAATATACATATTACTGTTTAAACAAGAATATTAAATGGTTTTTTTGCTTAAAACATACAAAAGAGATAAGAAATGAAGGGTGCTCTTAACCTCTTCATGTTTATCACCACAACGGAAATCAATTTAGTTAAAAGCAAACCCATATAGCATGTTCATGCCTTTATAAGGCAATGGCAATGCTTAGATTTGTATTTACAATTCTTGCAATACAGAAATATGCATAACTTTGACAAAGATTTTGTGATAATTTAAAATAATATTTGTATTATTCATATTATAGTAATTACCATAATATTAATAAACTAGTGATTATTAATAAGTATATACTGTAATATAAAGTAGGTTATCTTTCCCTTTTTTATTAGTTGCATATTCAGTTTGATTTGTTTCTTTTGTATTTTTTTTCCATCTTAAAGAGTGTTGCAGGGAAGTGGGTGGATTCTTACTCCCTGACATGTAAATGAAATGAAGAACCAGGATAGTAGCACCTCACTGCAATATCTATCTTTATGTTACTAAAACTCTCATGTTTCTACAATTTTTGAATCAAGATATCTAGAAAATGCTAACTGAAAGAATGCATAAAAAAATCTTGGATCTATTAGTCCTGAAGAATTGAAATTTCCATAATGTCCAGACCAGTTTTATTCTTAAAATTGTGGCCATTCCAGCATTCTTGCAATCACATGATCGTAATTTCCAACATTCCCTACATTTAACTAATTCTCTTCTGAAAAACCTCTGACAAAATTTACTATCAAGTATTGGTTATCTTTAAGTATATTCCAGAGTTATTTAAGAATATGTTACTTCTGTAAGAATCTCATTGGTTTTACATTTGCGTTGTGCATATTTGGGACTAACATCTGAAGTTTCTAATTGTTTTTTATCAGCAAGAACTAGAATGAAAACTATTTGTGGAGCCTCAAGGTACAGATGTTTCTGAAATTGAAGTAAGGATCATTTATACAGGGTGTACCCCCCTGTACGGCTTAATAGATAAGGTGTTTGGAGGAAGATCTATTCAGCCAAAATGAAGGTCTGAATGTTTTAGATGATTTAGATACTTTTGCTTTCAGTTCTTTGCAACAGACACTCAGTTATGTAATTTCTAACTACCTCAGTTCCTCAGATTTCTTTCAGTATATTATTTAAAGATATTCTGTCAACAAGTTCTACAATGACAACAGTTCAGACAGACACCGTTCCAGATTTTGTGCAACTTTCTCATCTTTCTTTAACACTCTATTTCTTAGTCACCGAAATGTCCAAGTCTGCTGATTTATCTGCTGAATTATTTGCAAATCTGTATTCAGAATATGCTACAAAATGTAGTGTGTTTTGAGGAAGTAGGGCTCTTGTTCAAAATTGAAAGTTGCTTAATATTCCCCCACGAAGTCTACCTAAATTATTTCTTCATACATTTGCATTTCCTCTTTACTTTAAACAAACTGTGCACAGTGTAATAACCTGGTTCCTAAGCTAAAAGTACTGGAAGAAAGCCGCCCTTCTTCTTTTCAATGATATTACCAACTATGGGGAAAAGGTGAGACAAATATAAATTCCTTGTGTAAATTTTGTTTATACAAAGGTTGTTTTCCTGGGCTCTACCTATCTATTCAAGATCATGCATATTGAAAACAGGAGGTTTTTTTTATTTTTCTTCCCAAATTGTTGCATTATCCATCAGGGTGACATCTGGAAGATATTTCAAACTTCTATATGAAAACTGAATCTGTATATATTTTGATAGAGACAGTAAATCAATATTCCATGTTCAATTAAAGCATCAATTTTATACCCAATAACATTTAAAATTCATAACCTCATAACCTAAATAATTATTACAAAGTTTAATTTGCCTCATGATGAAGAAATTATTGCTTAAGTCATCAATTCCCAGGGTTTCTGCAGAAGAACAGAGAGCTTTTGAGAGTACATCAAAAACATAGTTTTCAGACTTCCAGTTTGAGCTTCTTCAGCGACAGACCGAAACCGCGACTCTGCGTGGTTTCAATCCGTGTTCGCCGCTGGAGTCCCCCGAGCCTGCTGGTTTCGGGGCTAAGTCACCCCGTAGAGGTGGTGAAGAAGGGGGAGACTGCCTGCAGGGTTGAGGAGAGCCGCATCTCTCCTCCTCAGCTGGCCATTACTCCCTTTCCCGAAGGCGGTTGTAGCGGTGGTCAGAAATGGCCACCACAAAGAAGAACTCGACCGGAAAAGAATGTGCAGGAGGAAAATAAGAAGAGAAAGTTTTGGTTGACTGGGTCAAACAGCAAAAGCAACAAATAAAGTACCCTGGAATTTAAACTATAAAAAAATAATACTGTTCCCAAAGAAGATCTTTAAGCAGCGAAGGAGAGAGAAAGGGGAAAGGATTTGGGTTTTTTTTCCTTTTCCTATACTGACAGCTAAGAGACTTAAGCAATAAATTGGAAAAAAATCCACTTTGATATTAATAGGCATTTCATGCTGAAAATAAAAAGTCAAAGGGATAATAAAGATTTCTGGATACTTAAAAGCTTTTGAAAACAGGAAAGGAGAGAAAAAGAATAAAAGGGCAGGATCTGGAAGGGAGGAGAGTGCCTGGAATTAAAAAGAACTCACAGTAAAAGCTCAACAAGACTTCTAAAAGATACATTTTAACTCAAACATGGCAACAAAACAGTAAAACCCCAGGAAGAGAAAGTGAAAAAAGAAATAAGAAGAAATAGCTTGGGAGTATTTGGATTACTTGGTGATCTCTGGATTCTTGGTTACTGCATTTGAATGACTAAAATCAACCGGATGGTTGTTTAAAAGTTTTAAAATGGCTCCACTCTTAGAGGAACTGAAAATGGAACTTAAAAAGTACAAAGAAGATGCACAAGAAGAGAGAGGTTCTTTTGGCTTCGTATTTCAGTTCTTAGAAATGGAGATTTGGGACTATGAGAAACAACAAGAAATGCCTGCAGAACAAGAAGATTGGGACAAAGAAGAAGCCATCTTTAATGAACAAGTAATCTTAGGTGGAGGAAAAAAAGGAAAGGGGGAAAGAGAATGGAAAGTTTAAGACTGGGAAAAACAACCCCAAAAAAGTATAGATTGAAAAATAAGTATAAAATCAGAAAGCAACAGAAGAGGGAAATGCAGAAGAGAGAATTAGAAGTAGAGAGACAAGGGGGTAAAAAGGGGAGGGAGAAGAAGAGAGGGAAGAAAGAAAGGAAAAGGAAGTTATAAAGGACAGAAACAAGATATAGAGAAACAGGGCCTATTTAGAGATAATGGGTGAATATCTAATTGAAAAAGAGATTCTGCAAAGGTACATAAGATAGTATTGTTATATTAGAAATAGAAATAATTTCAGAAAATATGAAACAATGTATGATTAAAATGTTTGATAAAATAGTTATCGTAATTTAGTGGAATGTTTGTCAATAAATAAATGTAATAAAATGAATATTTAATGATTTATAAAACATATGTGAAGAGAAATAAGGGAAAAATTAGATTATACATGTCTTCAAGGAAGTATGATATTTAATTGAAAAGAAATGTTAAAGATGTTAAGACTTTAATGAATATTAATGATAGAACTGAATTGGAATGGAATGAGAGTTTTAATTACATATATTTATAATCCTTTTTTAAAGAATATAGTGTGTATTATAAGAATGTACCAAGCAAAATTCGATTGGAAGTTATGTATTATGTATTATATTGAATGTTACAACCTTAAGGTATATATCGAAGTTTAAATAAGAGTTGAATGGATAAAATTAAAAGATATAAAGGTGTCATACTCTAATTAGTAACTGCAGGAGAAAATTTGTTTAATGAGAAAAGATAATATAAAATTGAAACAGGACAGGTATAAATATAATGATTTGAATTGAGATGAGATAATCAAAATAAAATTGAGAAAATTAAAAGAGGGGAAAAACTATATAGGAAATGCAAAATAGTTATAAGATATGGAATAGAACACAAAAATGAGCATGAAATTGAGTT